CTATGCCTCGACAGATTGCAGCCCGGATGCAATCAAGGGTGAGTTTTACCACCAGTTATCTGTTCTTCTCCAGAAAGTGCGTTCGACAGATATTGTAGTGCTAGCCAGAGACTTGAATGCTCAGGTCAGACGTCTAGGCACAGAAGAGAATCGTTTAGGTGGCCGATGGGGACTTGTTGGTCGCAGGACAGATAACGGGGACCATCTACTGCGACTGTGCGCAGACCACAACCTGTTTCTGGCTAGCACTAACTTCCGACACAGTCATCGCCGACGTGCCACCTAGCGTCCTCCCTCTGCATCTCAAGCCTGGACTCAGATTCATCACATCGCGATCAGCTACCGCTGGCGTGGTTGTGTACAATACTGTTGCTCCTTTTGGAGTACCCATCTGGACTCTGACCATGCTTTGTTATGCGCCAATCTTACCTTACTTTTCAGTGGACAACGAGGTGACCGCCACCAACAGACTGATGTTAGCAAGCTGGTTGCAACTTCTGTTGCTAGTAAGTATCGAACCGAGCAGCTTCTAGGCTAGCTACCACTCCACCGAAAAGTATAGATGAGCATCGGTTGCAACTTCATGACGCCATCAAAATGGCGGGTAAAGCCGCTTGCAGCTTCGCGAAACGTCCTGCTTATAAGCACTGGGTTTCTTGTGGTTCCTTACAACTCATTGAAGCCCGTCGGTCTACTCCGGTGACCGTGAGTTTGACCATAAACGAAGGATGTTATGTAAGGAAATTGGGCAAAGCTTGCGTAAGGACCGAGAAGCCTGGTGGTCGATGCGTGCTAATGAGCTGGAAGCAGCAGCTGCATCTGGTAACTACCGGAAGCTCTTCCAGCTCATCCGAGCCACTGGCAGCAAGAAGTCTGGTGTGAGCAAAACAATCTACGAGGATGATGGGATGCCAATCATTAACATCCATGCAATCCGCACTTAATCAGTTGGCAATCAGTGTCCTTAGGTATGGTATGTGCTTTGCACCTTCGAATTGCAATGTACTTCTACACTACTGGCACGATTCTAATCCTCTACTCACCCTGGATGGTGAGCAGATAGACGTAGTCGAGAACTTCATGTATCTGGGTAGCTGCATAAGTGCTGGTGGGGGTGTGAGTGATGAGATCAATGCACGTATAGTGAAAGCCAGATCGGCTTATGCCAATCTGGGCCATCTTTGGTGCCTTCGTGATGTTAGTCTGGCTGTAAAAGGTCGGATCTACAACGCGTCGGTGAGAGCAGTTATGCCCTATGCTTGTGAAACCTGGCCTCTCCGAGTTGAGGACGTTAGGAGACTCTCTGTGTTCGATCATTGCTGTCTCTGAAGGATTGCTGATATCCAGTGGCAACACCATGTTAGTAATGCAGAGGTTCGGCATCGTGTGTTCGGGCACAGACGATAACCCAACTGGTGTCACCATCTTGAAACATCGACTTCGGTGGTTTGGACATGTTCTACGAATGTCGTCTCAGAGAATTCCACGTGTTGCATTATTTGCCGACTCTGGGACTGGTTAGAAGAAGCGGAGAGGTGGTCAGTGTATGACATGGTGTTGTGGCATGAAAGAAAGCTGCATAGTACTGGCCTGTGTTGGTATTTCACGACTACCTGGCTGGGGTCCGAGAGATGGTGCAACACAGTGGCTAGAGACGTTATCAGATATGGCTCAGAATAGAAGCCAGTGGTGATCCTGCTGTAACCTTCTCTTACTTTCTTCATAAAAAGTGGTTGCTTCTTCCTTAACTGAAAGATCTTTTCTGGTTGTACGTTTCTGTTTCCCTCATTATTATTACACTACCTTACACTAATCTGTGCGTTATTGTTTTTTTTACGCTCCTTACTTTTTTTCTTGTTCTCTTTAAATTCTCATTGTTTTGTGTCACGCATATATATTTGGTGCCCTCTTGTACCAATATTTGTGTTCAAATAAATAAAACAGAGATGCAGTTGTCGATTCAGTAAGAGTATAAGCAGTTGTCGGAAAGGTTAGGGTTTGAATATGTTATCCAGTGAAATAAATTTGGAAAGAGAAAAAAAGACAAGGAGAACTTAGGAGATTAGAACTCGGGAGAACACAAAGAGTGGATGCACCTGCGCCATTGCAAACGATTTTGAGCCATGTCATCCAACGTCTCTAACCATCGGTTTCTATCATCTCGCTGTCCCCAACCAGGTAATCTACACCTACCAACATGACTCAGTCCACTTGTCAGTGACTTTATGGATTCGTGCCACGTTTTGTTCTGGTCGCCCCTAGTTTTCTTCCAACCTACTCCTACACCATGAAACATCGCACGTCGGGGCAGTCGGTGGTCGAAGAGTCCGGAGTATAAATTAATAGGAGGAAAGGAGTTCACATATTTAATAATCATTAAGTTGAGTGCTTGTTTGTTGACATTCACTAACCACTCATATTTACTTTCAATAAAACATATCAATAACAGTATGAAAATAAGAATAATCAAAATGGTTAATGCTTTTTGAGTATAGAAAATTGTTTTTAATTATTCTGTTTGTTAGCTTCAATCATCAACCGACTAAAAATAATTTTGATGCAACTCATAAAATACAGATTATTTTGCTAAGCATTGAACTATAATTATTTCATGATGATTCTATGTACAATCCAAAGTTGATAAATTAGCATTAATTGACATTACAGAAGATTACATAATTGATTATTGAAGAAACAAAGAGATCTAAGACACTTTTCAGAATAAAGGACTGTTCCATGTTATAAGTTTTAACAGAGTACCTCGATAATATTAAAAAGTTTTTCAGGAATAATAAAATTATTGCATAGTGTTCGTCCCATATTAACCTCAAATAATGTACACTTATTTATAGGAATGACTAACTATTCAATAATGTTTAGGTATGATTTAAAACAAGGAGTATAGGACAACTGTTTCAGGTCAATATGCGATTCGTCAATAACGGGCACCCATTATCCTAGAACCATCAGGGTATATTTTACTAAGTACAGTTTCATAACCGTTGTTTCATTGTTTAATACTGCCTGAAAAGAAAGCTCATTTATTAGTGTTGGGATGTCTTAAGTTTGAAAAGTCAGATATTAATGAAACTTTTATATTTTATATAATCTACAGGTGTAATCTTGCACTTCTAGATCTTTTTCTGTTAATACCATTGTGATAAATGAACTCGAGGATTCTAGATAATGGTTCAGTATTACTATAGATCTGCCTCATCCATGAGATTTCCAATATTAGTTATTTTAGTAGACAATAATACCGTATTAATTTTTCTTCACATTGTTCTATTTTTTTACATCGTTTGTAAAATATTAGATGGTACTAACAAACTCCATCACTCTTCAGAATATGAAATTGAAGTACAATGATCTGGTAAAATAATTAAGGGATATTTTTACCAACAGAGAGTACATGAAAAGTTGACTGAATTAAAAGAATATCGTTAACATTCTATCATACAGATTAAGACTTTAAATGCTTTCTAAGACTGCCATTTAAACATGGAAACTTAGCAAAATACGGATGATTATGGGTACGAGAAATTCTACGTAAAGATAAATGGTTTATTATCAGAAGGGGTTTTGTGCAGATTGTAGTAATGTTCAACAGTTGAGATAATGAGTCAATCGAAGCTAGACCAACATGGAAGCACTGGACGGCCATTTCATCATATTGTGGGACTCCCCAGCAGTGCGCATCCACGACGCCGCCTCGCGGGACTCGAACCCAGGACCTATCAGTCTTGCTCAACTTCGTGGAATAGTTGGAGTTAGACATTAACACCGTTGGATGCTGGCCGGCTCAGCGGTCTAGAGGTTAAGTGTTCGCGCGCGAGACTGACGGGTTCTGGGTTTGAATTTCGCGAGGCGGGGTCATGGATACGAACTAGTGAGGAGTCCCATACTAGGACGAAGCGGTCATCCAGTGCTTCCAGCTTTTCCATTGTGGTCTAGCTTCAATCGACTCATGATCTTAACTGTTGGACATAACTGGTTGAATTCAGAAACCAGAATCAGACAAAATATCAATATTTTATTTGTACTAAACGATACGAAAACATTTTGGAAGCAGTAAGTTGTGGTTTATATCTGGAATCACGAGAAATGTAAATATATACTAATACCATGACAACTTTGCCAGTAAATGAATGGATTTTAAAAAGTTGTTCATCCCAGCAGCTAGGTAACCAGCGTTAGTCTAAAAGAAAAGTTATTTGGATCGTTGACAAAAAATCAGCTGATAGCTTCTTACGCTCATTGATTCATATACATATTTTTTGTCTACTAACAAGCATCAGAATCCCGATACAGCAGTGATGTTGTAAACTAACAAAAGATCCAGTACTGGCACATAACAACTAAAGGATTTGTCTTCTGATTCCAGTTGTTCAGTGTCGCTATACTGCAATCAAATTACCTAAACCGATTATCAAAATGAAATCTCTGCAACTAAAAACGGACGGCAACAAATTTGTACAGACAGTGTCACTACTCGACCATTGATTGAAGAATGACATTTTCCTTAACTAATAATTACTGGATATAATTTATTTGTAGTGGAATGAATTCTAGTGTGAATCAACCTTTTAAGGTCTCTGTAATAAAACCCGAACTTACTTCTAGTTAATAGGTAAGAAAGAAAAGGATAGGGAACAATCGTGTCCATTGTAGTTAAAATCTAATTGATGAGCGCACAAAATTATTAGCAACCCAAGAGTTAATGCCATGATTCACCTTAAATATAGTTGGAATACAGCAGCTTTTATATAAAATGTTCGCAATTATGTGTTTTAGTTAACTGGTAGTAAATAAAGGGGGGTTTTTTAACATCCGTTGAAGGTGGATTACCGACATAACTCTTTATCCCACTAGTTAGTTTGAACTGTCAATCTGATAACTGAGTGCTAGATATGTATGTATACACTTAAATTGTGAGCCATTACTTTTACTTACTAAAATCACACGAGAATATAAGAAAACACTAAATATAAGGCATGATAGAAATAGAATAACAATTTTATTCAAATATTTCATCTAATTCATCAACTATATGAATTTCTTTTATTCCTTTTTTACGCTTCCGTGTTTCCGTTTTATTATGTGTACGTTCTATGTATTTGCCTTGTTTACTAGACAATAGAGTACTTCGAATCTGAAAAATGAGGAAAACAAAATTGCGTGACGTAAATTTATACTACTGAATAACCAACAGAAGTAGTACAAAAGTGTATGATAAAAAAGCGTTTAGACATGAACTCAAGGAAATGATTTGATTTGATATTCGATTAAGGGTTATAAGGTTATGGAAACTTACATCATTATTATTAATTTTTAGTAATTGTATCAATCAGAGGACCATGAACACAAAGAAACTCATAGAAAGGAACATATGAAGACATTTGGGTATCAAAGAGACCTCTATTTAGTGAAGATAAATTGTCAGGTCAAAATTATAATTTTCTAGCAATATAAAAAAGATTCGTACTACTAGCCAACTCAGACTGCGATTCAATCAGTTGTCAATATATAGAGGTCCCGAGGCATAATGATATTATCGAATAGTTGCAAGTCACATATTAAGCATTATACGATTTTCATTAAAGACGTTCAAAATACTTTACATTTTGATAGAGCATTTGTCTGATAGGACAACTTCATCGTTTGTGTACCCTAAGTAGACTCGAGATATAATCGACAAATTGATTTCAGAAACGTTTGAGATAAACAAAGTCACCTCCTTTTTAAAACCGAAAAATTTGGACAGAAAAGGCGGTGGCGGAAATCTTTGATAGAGTTGAGTTGTGGTTGAACACGGATATGTCAAACATCTTTCGACTTGAAAAGGCTAAGTTCCACAAAATTTAAAGATTGAGATGTTTTATCTATGTATTAGTGCGACGATGTTGAGGTGGTCTAGGTCAGCATGTAAAACCTTGAAGGCAATTGCATAAAGGGTAATAATATCTTTTGCACGTTAGCGGTAATGATACAACTAAACAGATATAGGGGGACTTAACAACTACCCACTAGTAGTGTAGTAAGTCTTTCTGTATATTTAGTGAAATGTTCACATATACGTTGATTTTTTCGATTCAGTTAGTAAATGTCTATGAACAAATGGTACTGTATTTATTTGGCTCACTCATCAGGTACAGATTCATTTAATTGGTTTTGAGTCACACTCTAGATATGAGGGCTAGAGATACTACTAGACGAGACAATCTGAAGTAGGTGTAGTGCCGAAAGTAAAAAGCACTAGCCGCTGGGCCACTTCTCCACCAAATGACTTTGAATCGCCAAACGCTACTCTCCATCGCTTTACAACTCATATGAAAATGGATGACTATCTAAATAAGTGGGTTTTGTTCTAAACTTTATCTGTTCAAACTGACACGCAGGCTGCTGAGTACGGATGACAAATCGATTGGTGAGGTGGTGAATCTTTATTATATTACTAGAATTTAATCAATGATTTCGGTAAATTTATAGACTCCAGATAAAAAGTCCACAACTTACTACACAGTTCAGGCTAATAGTTAATGACTTTACGGAGTGATGCTATGTTACCCCCTTTCCATCGCATTATGTGGTAACATAGCGCGACGAAGTAGACACGATTTAAGCTACAACTGCGACAGTAGATGTGGATCAATCTGATGTGAAGCCTAATCAATTCATGTCAACTGAAAATTCTTCTACATATCAGAAAACCCACTATGGATACGACCATAAGACAGAAAGATACGCCGAACTACATATATGAGTAAGTTTTATTGAACAAGACAGTCCGTAACTTATGTATTCATTCTGACCATGAAGAGCAGTGAATAATGTATGACGAATGTATCCAAAAAGCGTAAAAAAGATCAAATCAAAACAAAGCATAATTTAAATAACTTACTAAATTAGGAGAAATGTATTTTGGATTAGAATACAGTACTGCACCACAAAAGCTTCCAGAAAATATACGTATTGGATTTAGTGAAAAGCGTGGACCTAAAAAGTAATCCTTAGCAATGAAATTTTGGCACATAACTCCTTATCAATTTATTACCCTAACGAAATGAATCATTTGTATCATAGTCTAGGGTACCAGCTATGCATTGTTTTATAAATAACCGTAATGCCCCGAAAATGTAACTTAAGTAGGTGGGGTGAAATATTACCTAGAGAATTAATATATTATTAGACCCACAATTAGCAAACCATACGCAGCTAACAGCTAAGGAAATCAGCAGTCGTAATCTATACTAGGTATGTATGGTGAGCTATAATTAGATATCCACCATACTTATTTACGCTTATCAAAGTATTATTTTGAGTGATACTCAGTATTATTGATTACTTTAGATTTACGTTCGATTGTAGTTTACACTTGTTTTCAAGCACAGGATTATGACGTTGGTCGAGGTACTGCGTATTCAATTACTAATTTATAAGCTTGAATCCTAATGCATCACCTATTTCTTTATATATGACTCACAATTTAGTAAGCTAAACAATTCTAAAAATTGAAGTAAAAATTTGAGTTTTACAAGCTTGGACTTACACCAACAAGACAAATGAGTCATAAAAAAAGTGACGGTGACCATCTTTTTATTATTATGGTCGGAAAAGAATCGCATGTATGGCAAGTAGTATTAGTGTGGTTTACGAAAATTCTATTAAAATGCCAATGTAATCCAGTGTATTATATGCATACAGTACTTAGAATTTTGCCGTCTACTTAGTAAGGTATTGACCGGTAAGTTACTTTCGCTAAATAGTTTTAGGAAGTACTGAAGATACGATGGCTGACATTTGTGCACTTTGCTTGATCCTGATGGTATACTCATAAGTATAGAAATAAGCATTTTGGTCGTTATCCAATTGTTACACGAGAGGATATAACTTTAACCACAGAATGATTGTCATTCAAAGACGAAAAAATCTGAACACTTGGACTAGAAAATTAGATTCATATCGATCAGATACGTATGCAGCCCGCATATGGTTATGGTCAGGTGAAATAACGAATAGGCCTGAAAAATTAGGTGCCTAGACCAGAGCTATAACTTTAAAATGAGTACACTAAATGTATCATGAGCCACTTAACATTTAGCTGACTAACATCTACAGACAGTCAACTGACTACTATGCTATTGTTCCTCGTTGTAGACAAAAGTTTCGGAAATAAGCATATATAATGGATACTTACCAACTTCGACTAGTGCTCCACTCTCCTCAGCAATCTGATAAACTCTAAACCATATACGATCATTAAAGTTAACAAACGTAAATGTCTTGTCTATATATGGCTGAGAACGTGGATGATGATTTGGAGTACCAAGAGTTTGTATAAACAATTCACGAATCAAGTTCATGTGAGGTTTGTCAGACTCTTCGAAAGACGGATCGAAAGCAAGCACAGGGCGACTGCTTTTTAAACAATTTCCTGTTAACTTTAATTCTGCAGTAGTACGAATATTTTCAACAAGAAATTTAACTGACGGACCATTGGGTACACAACTAAGCCACAAGTATAGGTCTTTTTTCTTGCGAGCCTCGAAATAAATAACCTGGGAGTAGGATAGGAAAATATCTATAAGCATCCGAAATAAGATTAAGATTAAAAACAAGGGATCGATTACAAACAAGTTGATGTATGGATAAAAATACAATATGCTCAGCTAATTCACCAGTTATTATCCAGATCTGCAAAGTGATGCCAGAAGGTTACAGCGATAATCTTGGGAAATTCATAATCGAATGCCAATATTAGTTGGACTAGTATAAACATATCAATGGTAATTATCTGCAGCTTTGGAGGAGTGATCAGATATTCGGCTATCGTTAAGGAAACAGCTGAGCCTTATTTTAGATGTGGACTTCACTTAGGCTTATCATACAATAAATTCGGTCGAATGTAACAATTTTACTAACAGATTACTTCTACGTGTCATGGTCTTTAGTCTTCAGTAATGAGGATAGTAGGTTGATGAACCTGTATTAATCCTGTAACACTGCTTTCCAGTGAAGGTCCAGCTTCTCCTTGAAAGTATTCGCTGATGGGGCTGATACCACTTGTTCGGGTAAGGCGTTCCAATGATTGACTACTCGATGAGAAGAACGGGACCCCACTTTAGGTTATTAGATCGTGATTTATGAACCTTCTTGCTATGACCGCGGAAATTATTAGTGCTGGAGGGAGCAAAAAGATACGATATATTAACACCCAAATCATAATCAAAGATACGAAATGCCAGTATAAGGTCACCTCGTGTCCTACGATACGACAAGGGGAAAAGATTTAGGCGTTTTAAACGCTCATCGTAAGGGAGTCTAGAAAGACCCTTTACTAATTTTGTTCCCATACGCTGGACACGCTTAAGGGAGTTAGTATCCTTTACCAGACACGGGCTAGCTGCTTGAATACAGTACTCTAAGTGTGGTCTTAGATAGGTGGGATATAAAATTTGAAACGTTTCCTCGTCAAAAGATTTGAACGCTCGGCGAAGTGACCATAACGCACGAAAACCTTTGACAGCGGCTGCTTTGCAATGCGTAGTTGCTTTAAATCATGACTTAATACTACTCCTAAGTCTTTATGCTCTTGAACGCATGGAAGAGGTAATGCAAGGATATAATTGATAGAACTAAGTTAAGGGAAACAACTACAGGAAACCTGAAATCTATTTTGAACAGATACCTTATTAGTGTTGCTCATTTCAGCTAGTTCGTTTAGTACCGTTATTCCTTTCTTGTGATCAAGTTTCGAATCTGTTTTTCCATGGGGCATCATGTGTAATAAATCTTTCAACAAATGTCGGCCTATGTAGGAAACGCCTCTCGATGACATAATGAGGACACGCTCTCTATTTGTCCACTGTGGCTTACGTGCAGGAGGCTGGTCGGATAATCTAATTGACGGTAATAGTTTGGCTAAAGAAATCATGAAAATGAAGCAGAATTTACGCTTTTTGGTTGACACCTTCGGCTTAGAGCCGTCATTTAATTTTCTTTTGAGACCTATGAAATACAAATAAGTCGTAATTTCCAGGAACTTACCATGAAATTTCCTCACAGACTTCTCTACCATTTTGTTCACTGTAACGTAAGTAACTGAATATATACCCAGTCATCAAGGTCGTCCAGTCTTCAGTAGTAAGGATAAGAGGTCTATTGACCTATATTAATCCTTGTGGTTTGTAACACTGTGAAGATCCAATTTAGTTCTGAATATATCGACAGAAGGTGTTGATATTACGTGTTCTGGTAGAGACTTCTAATAATTCACTACTCGGTGCGAGGAATTAGACTCGAGATGTGGACTATTTGATCTCGGTCTTTGAACCTTCTTCTAATGTCCTCTCAAATGATCAGTCCCGAACGGAAGGACAAGATCAACATATTAATACCAAGGTCATCATTCAGTATACGATATGCCAATATTAGATCACCCTGTATTTTACAGTAAGATAACTGAAATAAGTTGAGGTGTCTCAGTCTATCTTCATAAAATAGGCCAGAGAGACCTTTTACCATTTTAGTCCTCGTCGTTGGACTCGTTCCAACATATCTGCCTCATACTTGAAACAAGGATTATTAGTATAATTAATATTCCTTTGCTGTAAGAAGAGCGTACTTGTGTCAATATTTCTTTCGTAGCCGGTGAGGATGGTCCATTTGTGCTTGAAACAATGGGACTAAGACTGCTAGATGTACACTTTTTTTATATGCTAATCCTACTTTAATCAAAGATCTAGTCTTACACTAAATGATGGTTGTGGGAAGTATGAAAATTCACCCAGTACACTTAGAAGTTAAGGATGAAATCGTCTTACTGAAGAGTAGATTAATTCCATGTGGTTTAAGAGAGGCTGAAAAGTTAAGTTAAATGTAATGGTTGGAAAAGACATAACAATCTCAGTTGAGTCGTTTAGTTGAGCTACTCCAACTGTTACCCCGTCAAAAGTGGATGGAAAAACACCCAAAATCTGTAGTGATTGACACTAAATATCTGGCTGTTTCAGTTGTACCACCTAAGAAACTGAAGATATTCCGTATATATTTAAAAGGTCAAGGTTTAAGATGCCACAGGTATTCGGAGTTTGACAACGCTTTAACCAGTAAAACCTAATATGAATCCTACCCACTAAGTGAAATCAAAAGACAGAAGCGAGAAGGTTCGAAGATATATTTGATAAGCTATCAATATATCGAGGATCGTCTGATCTAATGTGTCTAGCGATTGCATGGGTTGTTGAGCACGGCGTTCCTACTCGTGATCTGGTATGCATGAGTGACCAAGCACCTTCAGCAAGGTGAGTCCATTAAAACTATTGTGGTCAGCATCCAATGTCGAAAACTTACAGAGCTATTTATTTTGGGGATTCAATTACTGCTACAAGGTTTTTGCTGATTCCATTGAGTGAAGTCTCTAGTGAACGAACTAGTGATGCACCACTTAGGCCGTTTAGAGACGAATTCCTACCGTTCAGAATAAATGTTTCCCCTTCGACATTTCAGCCGGCCTTGATGGTTGTGAATCGTATCACTACGATATCGTAGTTCATGCTGGAGATATGAAGTTCCATAACGAGCATCTTTTAAATTTATTTAAACATTCGTAATACAAACACAGCCGTAACTGGACTCATTTCAGTCTCAACTTAATTTAATCAGTTATCTGAGGTATTTTGTAAGTGCTAGAGGTTTTAAGCCTGATAAGAGTCACTTAGCTCCATCATTCTAAGCACCAGCACCTGCAAACACCTTAGTACTCAGATAACGAATTGATGCTCTTCGCTTTTATTACAGGTTTGTTCCTAACTTTACAAAAGTATTATCTCCTATTTTGACTTGGTTTCTAGTAGAAGGTCTGTATACGAACAAAAAACGAGAATATACTGGTGAGCGCCCTATGGTTTTTCGATGGTGAGGCTTTCCTCGTACTTTTTTATCCGGTCAAAAAGTCTACCCTTACTACCTATGCATCTCCTTTGTAGTTAGTTGCGGTTTCGGAACAAAATGAGAAACCTGTTATTTTTCGAAACGATTGATCAAGTATGAACTGCGATATTCTCAGGCCCAATAGGATGCTTTATCTGCGATATGGCTAGTTAAATGACTGTACATATACTTGTCAGGTGTGAAATTCCATATTGTAGCCGATTTTCAGGCGTTAAATTTTATTTGCCATCCAACTAAGTCGTTTCAACTGTCATCTGCTGCCATGGGTCAGAAATGGAATTTAGAGCTGAGTGTTTACGATTTCATGACTGAACGCCGAGTACCTAAATACATGACACATTCAAATTTTCTAACATGCCACTCATAGTTTGAAAGACCACCTAATGAAAGTGGTTGTATGTTGATTCAACCAATACATGTTGATACTCGTAAATACTTTGGGGCCGCCATAGTTGTAATGAAATTATGTTGAAGTATTTAGTGCAAGCATAGATTTCATGAGTTTTACAAAAAGATAAACGATATATCAACACATCCTGTGGAGTTTTCGTGCTTCAACGGTAGAATAATAATTCCCAACATTCAGATCTGCAGTACTAGATGACCTTCATTCTGCCCATCTGGAAGCAGTAAAAATGAGATCACTTGCTCTTCAAACTTGTTATTAGCTTGAGATTGACGCTGATATAAGTCGAAAATCGAAAAACTGTCCTGCTTGTTTACGTAAGCTGTCAAACACTAAACCTATTTGGTTTGTATCTTATGAACTATTGTGAAATGTTCATATAAATTACCGCGGCCCATTTTTAACATCATATTGCGCTTTTGTTATTATTGATTCATACACATAATACATTATAGACACATAGACCGAAAATAAACGTGTGGCAGATGTGGTAAATAACCAATGGATTTACTGTAAAGTTAAATAATTTTTTGTTGTGTTTAGGCGTATCATAATAATACATTCCAATCTCATGCTGCGTTCTTTGAATTCAAGTCCTTGATTTTGTCTTGCCGAAGTTATAAACTTATTGGGATTGGTTCTATTTCGCTGTATTATTTAAAATTCATGGGATAACAACAAAATATATTGCTAGATATCGAATATATAAAATGCAGATCATTTTGGTTTAGTGTGTAAAGTCGATTTGAATTTCAAAGTCTCGAGATATTCTTGGAATACTGCATGTATAAGTACAAACGTGGCCAGTCGTTTATGAACTTTTCCATTATACAAAATCATTGCGCTTTGGTTTTTTCTGATTGAAAATAAATGTGGTAGATAACTCCCTAAAGTAAATAAATCTATAGTGATGAAACATTGTTGGTGTTCTATCTTCTTTTGGCAGATACTGTAAAGTCAAGTTACTTAGTCAAGGTTTTTCGCTAGAACACATTACTAATCGACTAGAGTTACATGTCTCTAACTTCATTGGGAAGTTTATAGTTTGAGTTCCTACCATCTCTATCTACGATAAGATGTAGAACTTCAAGACTTAAACTCCTTTGCTTACTTACTCACTTACTCACGTCTGTTACTACTCGTGGAGAAGCATAGGCCGCCCACCAACACTCTCCATTCAACCCTGTCCATACTCCGTATTTATCTTGGCTGTATTATTTATAGAGCGCCTGAAGATCCAATTTTTTCGCATGAAGAGTGACTTTACAGGGATTAAAGCCAATAAACGCTGTATGAGGTTAAAATAATATACCGTTCACATAAATGTCTTCTCCCCTAGCTTTCGGTAAAAAAGGGGTAAGCGACATGAATTAAACCAAGCTAATCTATATGTAGTAAATATAGGAAATAAAAATATCGTTATCAAGCAATATGTTCTTCAAGTGAATGTTGGTTAGTAGGAAAATGGTTAGCATATTAAGAAGTGATTATGAACCATCTGTCAGATGGAATACTAAAATAACGAAATAACAAACAGTTTTTAAATGCCTTCAAATCAATTACTTGATACTGTATCTTTTACACTTGAGTTGTTTAAGACAGCCGGATATAGTTAATAATGCACACTTTCACGAATTCTGTAATTTGTTTAAATTAATTGATAGTACATCTTTTGTCAACCTTGATCTGGAACTCATTTTCAAGCTATGTAATCCATTATGACGTGTAAAGAAAAGCCATCGAAAAGTATTTTAAAAGCTGATCACGAGAAAGCAAGTGAGTTAATTTCTTGATTTTTGTGGGATACAGTTTTAGGTGTCGAAGTGTCAAATCACGATTTTGTAAACATCATAATAACAAGTTCATCTTTTTTACTCAATATATCACTAAAAAAACATAAAATATTTCATCACTTAAATATTTGGGGTGAATATCTTATGCTCTATTGCTTTTTGATCATATTACATCAATCCACTGCCAAGATCATTCATTGATAAGTTGTGTATGTGCGATTAAGTCAAATGGAATACAATTTATTATTTATTACATTTATAGTAATCAAACTTCTTTATGCATTCCATTTTGATTTTTGGCAAAGGGCGTTTTAAAGTTAACATTTATTTGTTTATGGAAACGCTTTTCTGTGATGTTGCCTTAACTATACTGCAAGCTAATAAAGCTGTTGTGTTTTACAAATGTTAAAAAAAAACTAATAGAAAGATTACTTGTGGTGCACAAGCATTTACATCGTTCGGCGTTGAGTCAAACTCAGAGCGGTAACTAGGTTTTAGTGGCTCGGAGATTCGACTCCAGGTTTATCGTTTCCGATTTTATTGAAATATGTTAGTGGATAACTGGAGAGTCTGTTTTGAATGCATATATTTTATGCAATCATTAATCCCGGCAGACAACTAAAAAATTGAAGTAAAGAAAGCGAAGAGGAGAGAACATGGCGAAAGGTGCCTGAAAACGCATTTTAAAAGTGACATTTTTGGGGAAGATTATTAGTGTTAGTTTTTAACCACGTGAGCATTGATTTTTCTAAAATTGGTAGCACGGCATAAAACGCGAACACACTAAGTTAGCATGGGTACAATTTCGTAAACAACTTGGAATGGTAGATGTCACATTTTCTTCATAAATTTTACAGTAAACAGTTTATTTGCTTATGATAAATATTGATGTTTCATAACCGCTTGGTGTTCAGGATTGTATGATGGCTATCATTGATGTTTAAATCCTCAGAGTGTGAACAATTATATGTTGCATCTAGTTCTTATTTGAGAACAGAGCCTGTGGAACTGGCGATAATGTAGGTGAGATGATCAATAAACTTCTGAGTTGTAAATATATGATTATAGAAATTTCATTTTAACTTCTAAATCCCTTGGTTAAATTATCAGATCTGGACTTACTTTCTACCTTAATCTTGTAAGAAAATAACAAAACATTGCATGTTGAGCGAGGAATCGCATTGTGAAATAAGTCTAACAGGCAGACACTTGTTCTACGTGGTCTTACTTCAAAATGTGAAGATAATATTCTTTTGTCGAAAACCTATTATCCCCCGACAATCTTTTTAAAATAGTAAAAGGGATGCTGAAATCAATACATTTGTGAAAAAGAACTGATAAGGAAAACTGCTGAGCAAAACTCCCTCAAACAGAAATTAACCAAGTGGTTTGTGAAGAATAAAACGACCAATAGGCAAATATTTTCAAAAAAAGAATCGCGACGTATGTTATTGGTGTTAGTAAACCCTAAAACAAGGTGTAGTAGCATAGACTTTAGTGCGTTAGAATGATTTTTTAACTAGTCACTGGCACAATAATATTTAAAGTTTATTCACAGGTAAATCCCCAAATGTTTAATCTTATCTGAATATTTCTATAAAAAAATGATCGTCTGATACACAGTATGCACAGAACAAACTGAAGCCAGGAGTGTATACCACCGGGTCCTATATCAGAAGTATGAGGGTTATGGGCTTACTGCAATCCATGAAGATCATAAGTTTGATTTCTGTTGGGATTGTAGCTTCGCATTGCTGGGTAGTTCCATGCTATGACTAAATGGCTGAAGTTGATTGGTGGTGTAAAAGTACGAAAATAAAAGGTTTAAAGGTGCGTTTTATCTGATGTAACGTAAAACTAACCATAATGAAGCCGATTTATTTGAGCTTATGATGCGCCAAAAAAGTGAAGCACTTTGTAACGGGGATTTTTCTTTTCTTCATATTAATAATGAAACATTATAACAGTTTAAATTCACTATCTTCAGTCGTTTGATGTGTCGAATTTTCCCTCGTTTTAAAACAGTTAGTTAACTGATTGGTAACTTCTCCGACAGTTTAGTTATTTTGCGCTCAGCTTTTATATCCTTATATCAGACTGTGTTTATTTATTATTATCATTAGTTTTTGTACCTTAAACTGTCATTGTGTTGCTGTTGTACACCTTTGATGATTACTCAAGCTTACGGTTGTTGTCATGAGGAAATTAACTGTTACATGAATTTAGTATGATATCAATGTGTCTGGTTCAGTGTTTGCAAAAATTGTACACAAGTGTGGCCATAATTCTGAGTAGTTCCATTAATTAGAGCTGGATATTGGCTAGGAATGGAATACAGGATGCGTATTTTGTTCTATTAGTGACCTGTTTGCTGGATATACCGACATCTTAATGTTGATATTTCAAAACCAAGACGTGAAACCAGTACCTATCTTTTAAAACTCCTAACACATTACTGAGTAAAGCAATGAGTTCAAATAGCTACCAGATTCTGCAATGGTTGTCAATCCTATCCGTAAGAGTGAATAAAACAATAGTCACTTGAAGCAAAAGACAATGAGCTAAAGTTCTGGCCCGAATATTAACAGTGTGATGTACGTACATACAGCTAACGTATCCCAAATGGAAAGAAAGAGAAACCCTGATCGAAAATACTAAACACAGTCTTATTCTCCGGGGAAAAACCTGTAACTAAATGATAATAATTAGACATTTTGTTCAGAAAGCATGCATGCCAAAAGAGACTGATCAATAATAGGGAAATACAAATCCTTACAAGTAGATTAACAATCCATTTAAGCCGAAAATGTAAACGTCTCACCAGACTATCATTAAATTAATTGAATTTTTGTATTTGAGTTTTAATTCATTTTAATATTCGAGTAATGGCTAATGGATTTTAAAAAAATATTTTCTTATCTAAAGGTATTGCACTTAATACAAAACACATTTACATTAATGAGAATATTTATATGATCTGGCACATATTTTGTCACAGTCTTTACTTGGTTTGATTTTGATATAATGATTATTACTCTTACTATTAAAGTTGCTATATTCTGACAACGAAAATGAAAAGTAATTTTTTAAAGAAAAACCATTTCTTGTTTTATTTATTTACATAATGAATAAGTTGTCTTCATAAATGTGAACACTTTCTCACTGGACACTATATATGTATTGAGGCTTTGTAAAAAAGAACTTGTCATTAGAATTGAAAGTTCACTGTGTAGACATTATTTTGCTTTTAAATGAAATAATATATATTATTTTCGGGACAAATTCAATAACCTATCCAGTAAAATATGTTCTACGTGTAGAGGAAGTTAATAAAAATTTTGGAGAAAAGCATAATCCAAGTGAATCGGTCTGTTTGCGTGAAATGCCATAGTGTTTAATCAGTATTAACTAAATGAATAAATTATTGATATAAGTGATTGAGTGCTAGCTTTAGGATTTAAAGTTAATGTGCACGTCACTAAGCCTGGAGAATCTGGGTATGATTCACTATCAAATCGTCAATGAATGTTGCTAGAGATACCATATTAAGGCGACACCGTTTGATGTTTTGAATTATTTGAATTGTAGTATGAACTAAGAATGCCCGAAATAACGCAACTGAATCAAGAAGTACTAGATGAGCACAAACGAATGTATTGTATTTAGAATTTAAAATTGAGCAATCAACAAGTACAAAAAACATTAGTTAATTCAAACAACACACACCACTATCCATGTTCGATTACTTTTCAATAATTATCTGGATAGAACTCCAACTTATGTCTAAGAATGTCTTTTACCAGACTATGATCGATTGGCCAAATAATAATTTGTTTGGAATAATTGTCAAATTTGAATTAATTCAATCCTTAGAACAACTGAAAATATAACGTTTCAAGATAGTTCATTCTGGTATAAAACAGACTACCTGCCACTTCCAATTATTTTACACTTATAAAACCTACTTCAATATGCACATTGACAATATGATAAAACGTTCTTTTATTTTTTACCCAGGGATACTTAATTTCATTATATATATATATATATATATATATATATATATATATATATATATATATATATATATATATAACTCGGAAAATCTCAAGATAAATTACTGTAGACATTCTCTTATATGCCGTCAAATGAAAGATAAGTATACAGGGATGAATAATTCAGTGTTTATCCACTAATCTACTCGCTCTTGTGAATTTATACACTAACTTATTCTTGGACCACTTTTTTGTCACACTCTGTGGAATCTACCTGAGTGGTTGACGTGAGTAATTGGTACCACTAATTCTGAAACATGAAACAGAAACTGGACGTTCAGTCTCTGACTCACAATTAAACAATATTTAGAAAATTCAATCAAAGATACTAGAAAGTGTGGTCCTCAACCTACTTTACATTGAAGCAGCCTTGGCTATCCATAATTTAAAACCTGGTTTATATAGGGTAACGACAATTTGTTAGATGTCTTTATTTTTATCACAGTCCTTGTTTGTGGTTTTCATTTGTTTATTCAAATATTCACCCCCTTTTTTCTTCCTACTCCTTCGTATGCAAAATAGTTTTAATTCATTCTATTTAACTATCACTACCAATTATTTTTATAAGATTGTTTCAATCCAGTGTTATTGATTGTCCTTTATACATCTTTATCTTAAATTTGTGATATTTTTAGTTACCTTTTCACCTCATCGATCGTATATTTCTTATTTTTCGTAAATTATCTCCTTCAATAACTGTTTGTTTACCTAAAATGATATCGTCAAATTACATATGATTAATCAAATTCTCAGTAAACGGAGATTTGTGGTGATTGTAAAGTTTTCATAAATTTTAAACTGCGCACTGATCTTAGTTAAATCCGCATTGAAAACTTGTATGCACTGGATGTTCTTTTCATCCTAGTATGGAGGTTCTCATTTATAGATATCCAAGAATCTGAGACTGGTAATCGAACTCAGGATCTTC